AACACATGAGGAGTAAACAGAGCCTTGGAGCCCAGACTTTGCCCAGTGTGTGGTGAAAGCCATGAACGATAATCTGGAAAGCTTTCATTATGAACTCGAAGAATCTATAGCACAAGTATGCCCCCAACAGGTGATCAAACCGAGTTGGTGGGTGAAGACAATTAATTGCTAAGGGAGAGGAGGTTTCAACAGTAGGAACTGATCTGATCAGTGGGGAAAGAGCTGCACTTAAAGCACGGTACTAGCTTGAAGTCCTAGCAAAAGATGATCAGATTAAAAGCAGTACGGAGGAGTACTGCCATCGATTTGCAATCCAGCCAAAGGTTGTCATCATTTTGCCTCATCTACAAATTAGTATAACGGGGAGGGGGGTGTGTCAGTGACAGCTTCACAATTGCCAAGACCAACAGTAGAGTTTAAATTAACAGCTGGCGACCTTACCCGAGAGATGGGCCAGATTCCTAAAGAATACTTTGAAACCTAGGATTAAATAAAAATTCATCCGACAGAACCGAGGCGAATAAGATCCAACAACTTAGTTTTAAAATCTTGGATCCAAATCCCCAAAACGATATTCCTATTGAACCGGAGTTGTGGATAAATTGTCCATTAACTTACTAGGTAATATGTGGGTAACAATTTCTAAATCGCCTAGTTGAATAATCTGACTAGATAAATACATTGTTAACACACAAAAGTTGTGGCACATTTAAAAGCATCGAAAGCAGATAATAAATAATAATAATCCTTGCATTTGATATAGCACTTTTCACGTCTTCGAGACATCTCAAAGAGCTTCACAGAATATACTGTAAAGTGAATTGACTGCGTATTTGTTGGGCGAATAGAAATAATGTAAAGAGGAAGCAAGGATTATTATTATTAAGCAACTGTATCTAACGCCCAGGACAGAAATTACATTTTAATTTTACTGTAAAAATCTTTTTTTTTAAAAAAGCAGCACAATTTACTCATCCACAATCATAACAACTCCTGCATTTGACATAGCACCCGTCACATCATCAAGAACATCTCAAAGCCCTTCGCAAGATCTACTATAAGGTGAATTGACTGTATTTTGAGGGCAAACGCAGCAACCAATTTGCACACAACGACGACCCACAAGCAGCAATGGAGTGACTGACCAATTTGAGGGGATTTGTTGATCACGGAGACAGAAACTCCCTTCCCGTCAGCGTTCATCTGAACAGGCAGACAGGACCTCACTGAAAAGTCTCATCCGAAGGACAGCACCTCCAACAATGCAGCAAACCCCCAGCAGTGCATTGAAGTGTCAGTCCAGATGTGGGGCTTAAACCCACAACCTTCTGAATCAGAGGCGATAGCGCTAAATCTACACAAAGCTGACACAATTAATACAATAACCCTGCTATGCGCTACTTACACGTCCTGCTCTGACCATACTATTCATCGAGGCTTTAGCTTTAGGGTTGAGGAGAAGACTACACCTCTGGGCTCATCGGCATCCCAGGCAATGGCCAACCATCAACATTAGGAGCCAGTTCACGACTCTCAACCAGTTTTGCACCACAGCAGATAAACCACACGCACACAACCTCTCAACCACATCAGCTTATTTGGTTGACCACTAGCAAAAGGACCACACATAATGACTATATATCTTAGAACTTAAGACAGAATAACAATTTCAAAGTTCCTGAAAATAGTTCAGCATCGACGGAAGAAGCATCCACCAGAGATCAGTAAAGTGACTGCTCACTGGTCATCCACATGTAGTGTGGACACCCAGGAAGCTCTCTAAAACATGTAATATATTTTAGCGTAACCTGCCAAGATCACCTCACCACATGAACGGTGTGAATTACCTGACTGCACAAACCCAGCTGCCACATTGCTGTCTGACTTCACAAAACAGCGTCAGCTATTTGCACATTTCTTCCATTTTTTTCCAGTGACCTCTACATAACTTTCAGCACCACAAATAGCAGCAGGAGAGAGTTGTCAGGCTGGTTTCTGAACAAACACACCTTGAGTAACTGCTAAAACTCAAAAGAATGTCACAAATCCAAAACAAAACAATGGATATCAGATTGTCCTTCAGTTATGACATGAAACCGGGAATACTGTGTGCAGTTCTGGTCACCGCAGTACAACAAGGATATTGCAGCGATTGATGCAGAGGAGGGCAACCAGAATGATTGAGGGGAATGGAGGGATTTAAATAGCGTTCCTCGGTCGCGATCTGAAGATGGGGATGGAGAGGGAAAGGCAGAGGGAGAGTGTTCCAGAGAGTTGTAGCGGAAAGCACAGCCACTGATGGTGGAACAAACAACAACAACAACAACAAGATTCCATTTATAAAGCGCCTTTCACGTCAGGAGGACGTCCCAAGGCGCTGCACAGTTGGGTCAGGACCCGAGCATTGGGGGGAAATGGTCAGGGTGAGGGAGGGAAGGGAGGGAGCGAGGAGGGGGGAAATGGTCAGGGTGAGGGGAGGGAAGGGAGGGAGCGAGGAGGGGGAAGAGAGTCGAGAGGGGAGCTGAAGGCTCGGTCAAAGAGAAAGGTTTTGAGACCGGCCTTGAAGGAGGAGAGGGAGGAAGCGGCGAAGGCACTGGGGGATGGAGTTCCAGAGCCTCGGGGCTGAGAGGCTGAAGGCCCGGCCACCGATAGTAGGGCGGTTGGGGCGGGGGATGTGGAGCAGACCGGAGCCAGAGGAACGGAGGGTACGGGCAGGTAGGTAGGGGGATAGTAGGCAGAGAGGTAGGAGGGCACGAAGGACAAGCAGGAGGCCGAAGGCAGTCAGGAGGAGGCAGTGAGATACAGCACTTCAGATCTGACACTCCCATCATCTGTTCACCCACAAACATAAATGTTCTGCTATTCTGTATATGAACCATAGTTCCCAGAGCTCTATGAGTCAGGTCCTGTGTAAGGCTGCCCAACCCAGAAATGCACCATAATAGTCACATGTGAAAAAAAANCTACATTCCACAACACTCAAGTTTCTCGATTTTCTGTCTTAGTATTGAAGATTGAAGCACATTTCAGTCTCAGGGTTGGGCCACTTCCTGCATTCTGTGGTGAAGACGAACCAGAATTTGACGAAAATGTGCTTAAAATAATAATAATCCACGCATTTGATATAGCGCCCTGTCGCGCCTTTTGAAACACCTTAAAGGGCTTCACAGATTTCACGGTAAAGTGAATCGACTGTCTATTTTGTGGGTGACACGCGGTGGCCGATTGCACACAGCAGTGTCCAACGTACAGAGTCGCGGATTGAGTGACCGAATTATTATTTTAGGTATTATTACCCCGACGGAAGAGCGATCCGCCAATCTCCTGACAACCGTGAACACCGGTGGAAGGAAACTTGCCCAACATTTCTCCCTGCCCGGGAATCAAACCCACCCTTCGAGCCGAGGGCTCTGACCGCGAAGCTACCGTCCTCCACCTTAACGTGGGGTCTGCTCAAAGAAACAAAACCGATTCAAGTTCAAACCGTCCGGGTCCCGCTTCTTCTCCGACGCAGTAGGTTTTAACGCAGGGTATTAAGTTACTGTCCTTTCAATTGAAGGGGACTGTCAGTAAATATGTCCAACTGCTCTATCACCACACAGAGTGAATGCTTTGCTGTCGATCTGCTGTGTGCCCTGACTCTCAGGGAAGGAAGGACAGTCATTTCACAGACGCAGCAAATACTTTGTGAGTCATTCGTGTAGAGAAAAAAAAATCCCTTATTGGTGTAAGACAGTACAGAGGCCATTTCTCTAACTTCCTTTCCTGGGGGGTGGGGGGGGTGGGGGGGGGGGGGGGGTGAGGGGAAGCACTCATGATACCATCAGATGTATTTTTTTTGCTGCTGTGACAAGGTCACAGAGCGATGGCTGAGCTCTGGGCCACACCTTGATATCTGAACTGCAGTCACAGCCACTGAAGTCAGCCCTCCCCGACCAGACCCCCCCCCCACAGCCCCGACCAGAACCCCCCCCCCCCACAGCCCCGACCAGAACCCCCCCCCACAGCCCCGACCAGAACCCCCGACCAGAACCCCCCCCCACAGCCCCGACCAGAACCCCCCCCCACAGCCCCGACCAGACCCCCCACAGCCCCGACCAGAACCCCCCCCCACAGCCCCGACCAGAACCCCCCCCCCACAGCCCCGACCAGAACCCCCCCCCCCCACAGCCCCGACCAGAACCCCCCCCCACAGCCCCGACCAGAACCCCCCCCCACAGCCCCGACCAGAACCCCCCCCCCCACCACAGCCCCGACCAGACCCCCCCCCCCCACAGCCCCGACCAGAACCCCCCCCACAGCCCCGACCAGAACCCCCCCCCCCACAGCCCCGACCAGAACCCCCCCCCACAGCCCCGACCAGACCCCCCCCACAGCCCCGACCAGAACCCCCCCCCCACAGGTACTGCACATCACTGTCCAGCCAAGGGGTCCCCCCCTCACACAGACCATCCCCAGTGTGCGCTCCCCCCACAACGCACGTTCCTGCGCCTGAAGCGCATCCCCAGCGAAACCCACTCCCCTTCACCTCGACCTGATCCAGTGATCTGATCGGCTGCTCCGCACAGCGGATCGATAACCCGCCCCCACTGCCCCTGTGCGGGATTCTGCTGTGCGGGAAGAAAAAAAATATGTACAATCCCCCGTGAAGATCTTACTGTGGGGCTGAGGCTGGAGGGGGTCCCCTCCTCTGTGCGTTACAGCAGCAGCAGCAGCTCTGGGAGAGGGGGTGCGGTACGTGGAAAGGGATCACCGCACACACACACACACCGCACACACACATACACACACTGTACACACACACACACCGCACACACACATATACACACTGTACACACACTGTACACACACTGTACACACACACATATATACACACTGTACACACACACACACCACACACACACACACATATACACACACTGTACACACACACACACCGCACACACACACACACACATATACACACACTGTACACAGGGGTTACGAGGCACTGCACTTACCGGGGGCACTTGTGTTGAGTCGGGAGCGGTGGTGTTCCGGGGAATCGGTTTCCTTGTGTGTTCTCATTCAGAGAGACACAGCCAAGAGTCCCGGGGCCGCGTGGGGGGGGGGGGGGGGTGAGGGTGTGGGGTGTGTGGGGGTGTGTGCGTGGGGGGGGGCTGTGTGTGTGTGGGGTGTGTGTGTGTGGGGGGGGTGTGGGTGTGTGTGTGGGGTGTGGGGTGTGTGTGTGGGGTGCATGTGTGGGGTGTGTGTGTGGGGCTGTGTGTGGGGTGTGGAGTGTGTGTGGGTGTGTGTGTGGGGCTGTGTGTGGGGGGGGGGGGGTGGGGCTGGGTGTGGGGGTGTGGGGTGTGTGCGGGTGGTGGGTCAGGGCGGTTGAGCGGTCAGTGCGGGGCGGCCCCGGTGTCGGTGTCGGTGCTCGGGCTCAGTCCCCCCCACACAGTGACCTGCAACAGGAAGAGCTCTCGGCCAATCACAAGCCACGGAACGCTCAAGACAGTAGCAATATGTCGTGACGTAAGAGGGAACCCCCCCGAGGGGTTTCCCACTGTGTCGCTCTCCCATGTTCCCCCCTCCCAACCCCACTCTCCCCCCACACACTCCCCCACACCCCACACTCCCCCCCACACACTCCCCCCAACCCCACACTCCCCCACACACTCCCCCCCCACACACTCCCCCCCACACCCCACACTCCCTCACACACTCCCCCCAACTCCACACTCCCCCTCAACCCCACTCTCCCCCCACACACTCCCCCACACCCCACACTCCCCCACACACTCCCCCCCACACACTCCCCCACACACACTCCCCCAACTCCACACTCCCCCCAACCCCACACTCCCCACACACTCCCCCACACACACTCCCCCCAACCCCACTCTCCCCCACACACTCCCCCAACCCCACACTCTCCCCCCACACACTCCCCCACACCCACCTCCCCCACACACTCCCCCCACACACTCCCCCACACACACTCCCCCCAACCCCACACACTCCCCCCAACCCCACACTCCCCCCACACACTCCCCACACCCATACTCCCCCCACACACTCCCCCCAACCCCACACTCCCCCCCAACTCCCCCCCCACACTCCCCACACACTCCCCCCCCACACACTCCCCCCACCCCACACTCCCCCCCACCCCACACTCCCCCCACCCCACACCCCCCCACCCCACACTCCCCCCCCCACACACTCCCCCAACCCCACACTCCCCCCCCACACTCCCCCCCAACCCACACTCCCCCCCCATACTCCCCCCAACCCCACACTCCCCCACACCCACTCCCCCCCCACTCCCCCCCCACACCCACACTCCCCCACACACTCCCCCATCCCCACACACTCCCCCACACACTCCCACTCCCCCCAACCCCACACTCCCCCACACACTCCCACCCACACACACTCCCCCCCCACACTCCCCCCCCCAACCCTCCTCCACATTCCCACCCACCCCCACCACAGCTGTTTCCAGTTCAGTTGGAACATGGCGACCTTTCCAGGCGTTAAACCGTACGTACGGACCGTGTGGACGTTTCGTGTCTGTTCTCTGGGATCTGCGGAGTGAATGAGCGCCGCGAGAGTGCACATGGATTGCCAGGTTGTAAATCCCCTTCCGTCGCCCCAGAGAAGGCGTGAACCCGTCAGCAATATCCCAGAGGGTATGATCAACAACAACAACAACAAGAACTGGACCCTGTGGCAGAGAGGAAGGAGGACACACACATCACATCACCCCCCAGTGGGTGTTATCACAAGGCGAATCTTGTCCGAATGGCACCGGATCCTTAAATAATTGGGAGCAAATGCGGAGGGTTTCAAGCCAAAGGCACTGCGCAAAGCAGCAGCCGGAATGGCGAAGGAAAGTTCTCTCTGCAATAACCCAAGTTGTATACGAGAATGGCTAATGGTCGTTATATTCTGGTGTTATAATAATAATAATCCTTGCATGTGATATAGTGCCTTTTCATGTTTCTCAAGACGTCTCGTGATTCACTATTAAACGATTTATTAAGAAATTAATAACATTATAATATTAAACTCGAGGCTAGGCCAGCCCGCTGCCCCCGCCGGGAATGGTTCTGTAAAGATGATTGGACGAAATGGGTATCATCACGTGCTTTCACTTTACTCCACATTTCATACAATGTCTTTACTGTCTGCCTGAGAATGCAGGCGGGATCTCAAGTCTATTATCTCTATCAAAGGATAGCAGCACCGATAATGAAGCACTTTCCAACACCGCCCTACACTGGCAGCCCGTACTCTGAGCTCAAAGTCCCAAAGTGGGGTTGACCCAGAGATAAGCGATACCAAGTAAACCATGCAGACACCCGGCTTTATTTCTGGGTGTATTACTTTGCACAAAAGACATGCATCACTAACTCACTCAACAACAAAAACAACAACTTGCATTTCGTTCCTCCGGGTCTGGTCTCCTCCTCGTCCCCCGAGTCCTCCGCTCCACCCTCGGCGGCCGTGCCTTCAGCCACTTGGCCCCGAGGCTCTGGAACTCCCTTCCTCACTCCCTTCGTCTCGCTCCCTCCCTTCCCATTTTCAGGTCTCTGCTGAAGACCTTTCTCTTCGACCGCACCTTTGGCCTTCCTCCCCCTCTCCCCATCCCCCCCCCCCCTCTGGCTCAGCCCCGGGATCCGTTACCGTGAAGCGCTCTGAGACGCCGTCCGGCGTGGAGGGCGCTACTTCAATCCAAGTTGTTGTTGTTGTTTATATAGCTCCCTCCGCGCTTGTAAATTATACGTCTTTTAGACTAAACTGATTAAATTTATTTTCGGAACAGACTGCAAATTAGAACAACGCTCACTCACTTTGGAGACCATATATCCTATATTTATTTGTAGTAGTGATTCGTATTTCTTTAAAAAATGTCTGTTTATATCTGAGTGACCAGATGCATTACATTTGTTGACAGCCAACAAAGGATGCAAAGGGAAGGAAATGTGTCAACATTTCAGAGTTTGGGGAAGATTATTGTTTATCTGCAAAAATACACAACTTATACCAGTCTCTCTATAGTGACCCAGCGGTATATTTAAATGCGGGAGTATTTGAGTTGGTGCGTTACTCTTTTCAGGCGTTGGGTGGGAAGCAATATCACAAATTGGACAATGGTCACTATCTGCGGAGTTCTGTCGCTCAGTGGTTAGAGCGCTCGCCTTGGGCGAAATGTTTCTTTACTCCACACGCTTCAGTTTACCTCGCAGTCAGTCAATAGGAACCCGGTTTCTAGTCGATTGGCGGATTGCTTTTCTGGGGTACATGAAACGCAACGATTATCATCTGTGCTCTCTTTCGCAACGTGCTAAATATTAAGTAAGTCATTTCCTGTTAATGTGTAGAACCGTCCGTACAGTGAAGGCACAATGGGGGTGTCGTGCTCAGAAATATTAAGTGGATATCCTGGACATTACAGTCATGCTGGAGTATCCATGAAATACAATGTTGTTGACGCCTTTCCTCTTTGAAAAAATTGCGACACACCAAAAAAATAACTGTGTAGCTGCTGTCCTTCTCCAGTGCTGCAGGATTCTGTCGGGGGTGATTTCCTCTCTTAGCATTTCAATAAAGAAACGTTAAGTAAGTTTCTTTACTCCACAAACCTCTGTTGACCTTACAGTACGTAGGAACCCGCTTTTTAGTCGAATGGCGGATTGCTTTCCGGGGGAAATAATCCCTCCCAAAGAAAAATTAAATGTATTATGATTATAAAAAAATGTGCTGTAAGACACTATCCTGTGTGAAGGGCACTGTATATATGCAAGTTGTTGTTTTGTTGATTTGGCAACTCTCAAACATAACAAGGACTGATCCCAGGCTTACATTTGTACCAAAATAAAGTAAAGATAAATCAACATTATCATTATTATTCCACATTGTTCAGGGGGGAAATGCACCGAGGCTGGGTAGTTTCATGAAGTAGCGATAACAAATAATAAATAACAATAATATCTGCGGTTGAGAAGGTGCCTTTTCATGTCAGGAGGACGTCTCAAAGTGCTTCGTATCTGATCTGAAGGACGGCACTTCCAACAATGCAGCATTCCTCCCGCATCGCATCGCATCGCATCGGATCGTCAGCTGAGACCGGCCAACGATTTCAAAGTTCCCCCACACTCTGACTCAGAGGAGAGAGCGCTACCCACTGATCCAGGTCGACAAGAGCTTCCCGTATATGACGAGCTCCCAAACTCAGATGTAAGCGCTTCAGGACGCTACCCCACACGAAGGGCGCTGGATCAATGCAAGTTGTGCACAATCAGCATGGTGCAGACTTCGATGGATTTTACTTGGTGATTAAAGCCAGAATATTGAACTTTTTAACTCCTAATTTGTAGCGATAAATCAAATAGCGCGAGAGTACAGTTAGGAATAATCATTTGCACGCTGGGTCAGACTGTCTGAAAGTGCTATAAATGAGTGCAGCAGCTGATTGATCCCCGATGTCCTGCTGTTTGGGTTTATTGACTATTCCAGGACACTTCAACAGCTGAATGTTGCGGATCTTAAGGGAAAATGCAGAAGCCAAGAAAATGCTTGTGGACTATCTCAGGTTATTTTTAGACCTCTGGCTGCCTGTGTGCACATAGCTGTGCTGACCCACAAACTGTTCCTGTCATTCTTGCTCTCTGGCACTGTGCTCAAGATCTCTCGGGAGTCCAAGAACAAGTCTTTAGCAACAAGTGTGAATTTTTTTCTTGCTCCCTCCTTTAAAGCCCTAAGTTCTTATAGAATCATAGAATTTTACAGCATAGAAGGAGGCCATTCGGCCCATCGTGTCTGCTCTTTGAAAGAGCTATTAACTAGTCCCACTGCCACCGCTCTTAACCCATTTTTTTCCTTTATAAGGACCTATCCAATTCCTTTTTGAAAGCTAATATGGAATCTGCTTCCACTGCCCGTTCAGGCTTTTTTTTTTGGTCTTTCCCCTCGATCACAGTATTCCCATCTAAGATGATAAATAGGTTAATTTTTTTTTACCCCCCCCAGGCCTTTATCAGAAGTTCAACAAGGATA